CGTTTTAATGTAAACGTGGGAGTATCGCTATATTATTTTGAAACAACGAAACTACACTTTCAATTTCTTAAGCAAACTAGTTTAATTAAAGCGTAATCCCCGACCAAGATCCCCCAGAAATTTGATTTCAATGAGCTCAATAGGAACCGCAGTAGAAGACGTACTAAGGCAACACATTTAAAATAACTTTACGTGCTCTTTCCCGTAATTAAAAATCGAAAGTGATGGTACTATACACACCATCACTTTCTATCTTCCTGCTCTATTAGTAACAATCTATCAGAATCTTGATTACTGTTTACACTACGTTGATCGCCGCTAACGCTACACTGGTTAGTGAACGTCTGGCTTATTGTGGTTTAAGGAGGTGTTATGATCAGAGTAGATATCCAATCATATATTGTATGAAAAGTAGTCCAAATTTGATAATGTAAGGGGATTTTGCAAATAAATGCCAGCTTGAAGAATACGAAGAAGCGAATATCGCGTAAATTGCCCGTATAAAACATTTTCGGCTCGAACGCGTAAGTTTGAGCTTCTAGATATCTGAACTACGACGTAGGATGGAACTTAATGAAGCCCTACACATTTCTCCAAGTGCTAAATACTGTCTGAGCTGCGGGTTCCGCTCGCAATACAGTACTATAGTGCTGAGAAGAAAAAGAACAGCGACATCAGCACGTTTTTCTATTGGTGGTGGGTCCAAAGAGATAATTCACCCCAATTACTGGTGATGTCCGCGCAACCAATCGACTACACGTAGATATCGAGCGTATAATTATTTGTGTAACTAAGAAATATATGGATAAACGTTTTACTGACTACATCGTATTGTTTTTCTTAATATGTACTGGTCTACAGCATTACTACATCGTATTGTTTTGTTTTAATAGAGAGTGAGTACCGTACCCAACTGAGGTCGTGATGTCGAGACTAAGTACTTACCCTAACCCAGTGACCATATCCGCCGTGGCATATAGCGTATAGCTAGTTTTCTCGCTCCGACTGACCACTCATTTAGCCAGCATCGCCATGCCAGTCGACATGGGGCATAAGAAAGCGCTTGTAAGAGAGCCTGACAAGGGTGGTATGGGTAGCGACGGTGTATTATCCGATGCGCGAAGTGTGTCCGCGGCTGAGAGTGACGGGGAATGGGTCGACACATCCAGCGCCACCAGCTCGCGCTCATCACCTTCTAAAAAGAGTCGTTCTGAGAGATCACAGCCTCTGCAGACAGCTTCGCGCGGCGAGAGCGAGGAAAGGGTGGTTGCCATTGCACCCTCCCCAGACAGAACAGAATTTACATCGTGGGAAGTGCTGGAGGACTACCTGCGAGAGTACGAGCGGAGCACTTTCCAGGTTTGCAAACAACATTTCACTAATCTGTACGTATTGGTCGCTAACTGGTTGTATATTTTAAAGCTTTCGCATCCGTACGAACAACAAAGTGGCAAACCGGAACAAGAAGATTCAAACTACCGGATCAAATGCACCGCTCGTTCCTAAAGAATGGGTAAACTATGCGAAGACGTATGTTTGTACGCACGCTGGGAAGTACAAGCCGCGCGGCCAAGGCAAGAGGAAGAGGCAGCAGTCCCGTGCACTGATGTGCAACGCGCAGGTAAGAGATCGATCTCCAGTTGGTCTTCAGTTGGGCCCCGGTTGGGCTGCGGCTGTCCAGTTGGGCTACTGTTGTCCAGAGGGGCTCCCGTTTGGCTCCAGTTGGGTTGGGTTAGTCAAATGGAAAACGTATGTGGGCAAGTCGGCCTAACTCGGTGTACTATGTGTATATTACAGATCAATGCCTGTGTCCAAGTGGTGGATGGCCGTGAACCAACTTTTATCTTGCGGATCACTTCGTTGCGACTGGAACACAGTCATACACTCAATAAGCGGGCTTTCGGCCAGTATTCTCACAATCGGACCTCGTTGGAACCAAATGTTGTGAGAACTGTAAATGAGCTGCGGAAAGCAGAGACCCCAAAGAAAAAGATTCAGATCTACATCCAAGAAAATTCTTCATCCAACCCTACGATCCAGGACGTGCACAACTTGGTGCGAAAGCTCAAGAAGCAAGATTATACCGCGCCGACAAGTGCCATGCGACTAAGCAATGAATCTTGTATCAGTCGAAGGGCTCCTATCCGCTGAACCAACCTACAACTCATCTCAAGAGAAGCTTCTCCTGTTTAAGGATTTTGCTTTTTCAAAGAAGCCAAAAGCCCCGATCGCTCACGAGTTCAGAAAACTGCCGTCGTCTAAAACCAGTGATGCGACTTGACGAAATTGTGAGAATATTCCCTATGGATCTCATCAAGAAATGCAGTGCTAAGATCTCAGCGTACCAGCGAACGCACCGCGGCGTACCGGAAGTTGACTTAGCGCTGGAGGTAATTGGGGTCGGCGTCTTTGCGAATTCTACCATACGTCTGATGCAAAAGTGGCACCGTGCTACAGGAGCTGTGAAGCTGATACGAAAAGCACTGACTTGGATGGACAATATCGATTTTGGCCGACACGGAAACAAGAACTTTTTTTATTGAAGAAGACCCACAAATTCCAGAAAATTGAAATGTATTCCTGTACTATCAAGCAAGATATGGTACCTCACTGAAGGATATAAATTAGGTTGCTACTAAACGTGAGTTTTACAATGTGCAGACGAGGATTTTGGATTTGGTGGGGAAGGAGCTCGTTAGTGACAATTTTATGGGGAAAATTCTGGAAACTAAGTATGGGGAAGACGCTAGCGTTGCCGTGGTCGACTCTGCAATGCTAGGTGCCGTTGTCAATGGAGAAATTAGTGCATCGACAGAATATATTCGCGCGGAACTCAGTGGACTGACAAACCAAAAAGTCCTCATTCCAATGAACTGCAATGGTAATCATTGGTGCTCTATTATGCTGAATCTGAGCTCGGGTGAAGCCTATATCTACGATTCTAGTGCATCGTCTTATCTGCGCGGCGTCCGTACACTGGCACAGACGGTGATCAACCTTGTACCACGTGCAGTTGGCATAAGCTTTCGAGTGAGAAACTTCGAATCTGGCCTGGGCGTTCAGACCGATAGCTACAATTGTGGTATTTATGTCTTACTGGCATTCGAGTTGTTTTGTAGTGCTGATCCACTTGTCATCTGGACAAGAAAACTCTTCAGTGTATGAGATACCGCTACCTTCGTATGTGTCTATGTGCTTAACGATGCTTACGCTGAAAAGAGACGAATGAGAGATGAACAAAAGATGAATAAGAAAGTGACATCCACCATTTCATTCAAATTGCACTCGTGACATTATTAGTGAGCATGTACAATTATTGTGTTGCCCAAGAGTATCAACTTAATGTGTGCTCACTACTGACCGAAGCCTGCCAGAATATCGAAGCTACGCTTTCGTAATCCAGCTATACGTATACAATGATCTTCTGGCTCTTTTGAGTTGGGCACCATTCGTTCATGTTTGGGAGCAGCTCTAACAACGTTTGGGTATTGGTTGAGTACTAGTTGGGAACAATTGGCTCGTCTCATAATTCTCAGTTGGGATCAGCAACGAGTGCCTTTTTAATATGTACTGGTCTACAGCATTGCAATGGCCATGAAACCCACAACTGTAATCATTCGACCAAGACCCAGACCGAAATCGCTCGATGCACTCGATGTGTCTGATGACGTCGAGGATAGAAATACCGTCGTGCTGATGTGGCTTGCAAAGCTTGACTCTGTGCAGTCCTTAATCTGTCGTTGTAATGAAGTCTTCTTATTCGAAGACTCGTAGGCGTAAACGCAGTTGGGGAGGTCACTGGCAAGTGTTTCGAGCTTCGAAGCACACGACGATGCGCACTTAGTGAAGATAGTAATACTGTAGGAAGTTCGAGTGGCATCTGACGTGCACGGTGAGCTCTTGGCTGTCTCAGTGTACAAGCTCACGAGACTTGAAACCTTAGAATTCGTGCAGTTAATAGTAGAGCCGGAACCTGCCGAGGTCGAGGATCCGATACTCCAGTCCACAGACCCGTCTGTGGATGCAGGGGGCTCTGTTGCTGGCCCCGATATACCGCTACTATCACCGCCGGGTCGTGGAGCTAAGCTCGACAACGGGGCAAGTGTCTGAAACGGGGCGCTCGTTACAATCGGAGCAATGGTAATCAGCGGTGCCGCAGTGGGTGGTAACACGAACGGCGCGTCCGTTTCGATCAGGTCTTCCCCGTTGCAAGCTGTCATTGCGCTCTGCACCTCGATCTTGTTGTTCACACCGCTGACTGTGCAGTCAAGAAGTTGCTCGCCGACTTGCTCCATCACAGAGACGCAAGATGTGGCTGAGCACGGAGCACTGACGAAGCTGTCTCCAACAGCGAAGGGAGCGCATGCTGACGTCGTGGCTGCCCAGCTCCAAATACTTTGACTGGACTGCCACTCTGCGTCCGTGCACTCAGCACCATGGACGAGATTGCGTTGCAACGTTAACGAAACAGCGATCGCCAGCAAAATACAATGGCGAAGAGAAAGCATAGTGGGTCGAAGCTGAACTTCAGGATGCAAACTTGAGCGGTTGCTGCAGACTGTTTGTGGGTATCCGCTACGGGGGAAATTGGATAATGAGGCTGCCTCATATAGGCTTTATGTCGTGTACAGCGCTCCTTACCATGAATAAGTGTACCCGTTGATTTCTCGGTCTGTTTGCAAGAAATAGTGCAGCGCGTTCACTGTATGGACACTTTTTTGCTGTTTGCTTTCAAATCGGGTGGAGGTGAGGTCACAAAGACGGTGTTGCGTGCCAGAGTGTTGCGGTGACACCAAGAAAATATCCATTGTTTTATCTGACGTAAAGCCGCCATGTGTTTGCACTTGCAGATTAAAGATCAGTAGCACAAAAAATAATGAAGCGGCAGGGGAACGACCTGTTCAGCAAGTGGTAAAATTGTACAACCTGCCGCAACCAAGCAACATGCTTTGTTGGGTTGAAAATACGCTTCGGTGACGGTCACAAATGAACTTCAATTAGCTAGAGATGATGTGGCTACATTGATGCGCTTTTCATTATTTAAATCAATGAAACTATAAAAGCCAAGGCCGACAGGGCGCTGCACTACTGAATTAATACCTGTAGCATCAATATATTAGATTTATTTACAGTCGTATCTCCCAACTTCGGATGAGTCGTTATACATGTATATCTGAGAGAATGAAGCCATTGATGACGCGGCCGTAAAATCTTTCGTCTCCGCCATTGCAAACATCATTTGAGCAATTAAATGGCAATGCATAGGCCGCGTTAGATGACAAAGCGTTGCCTTCAGGCCGAAGTGTTGGCGGCCCGCCAACACTTCGCCAATGGCGGCACAGTCCCATTGGGCTTTCCAAGGCATACTGTATCAAAGTAGGCTCCGCGTGCTCCAACAGGATTAATCCGAGCTTGTATAGAAGAAAGCAACGTCAACGAAAGCAGACAAACTGGCAGATTTATAACTCATACATGTGGGCTACATGTATTAGCTACATTGTAGCTACTTGTAAGGATGAGCTCAGCTCGTATGCATGTGGAGACTTTGTAATGTTGAAGTTGGATCACTTTGGATTTGCCACACCACACGGTAATACTTCTTAATACTTCGAAGTAATAGTTAAGTCGTTTTCGGGTTTTAGATCTTTACAGTAGTTGGCTGCCGACGACACTGGGTTGAAATGGGAGTGCAAAGTCAGTTGGTGACTGTAGCGCTGCTGGTACATGTATTATAGACTATATGGTGTACAGCAGTGCAGTCTCACTACACTAATACTACATACTCCCTGGTTGGATTTTCTGTTTTCAAGAATGGTAAGCTTGTGATTAATTTTACATCTATACCATTGTTAGAGCTTTGTACAGTAGGTGTTGCAAGGAGGGCCAACGCGAGACTTGTTCTTGCTAGTGGCATGCAATGGTCTCATCCTTTCGTGATCTTAAGGAAAATATTGTCATCAGGTGGATACATGTATGTGTGCGTTTAGTTCGAGACACAAGTTAGAAAGTAATAATGTATCCACCGCTATGTAGGTGAGCTTAAGTTTACACTGTGCTTGACCATAAGGCCCAAAAGCTTGAAGATTAAAAAAAAACTAGTGAATTAAAAAAATAGAATCAGACTGCAACGCAAACTAGACAGCTTCGGATCAAATACATCACACGCAATTAGTTTAGGAATGCCACAACGATTCCAACCGCTAGTGAAGCCCACGGTAAGATCTTTCCGCCGTGTGGTGGAGTAGCACTACTACCGCTTTCACCGCTTGATGCGTCCATTGTGTTGTCCGATGGATTGTTTCCCGAGTTTAATTGTTTTGATCCAGAAGCGCTGTCACCTACCATGATCGCACTCGATCCGGAGGAAGGTAAAAGTGTAGCGGTTCTGCCAGATCCAATAGACTCCGAGTAATCAACAGCATTGTCAGGTAGTAGTGATATAGTGATCATGGTGGCACTCCCATCGCATCCTTCTAGCTGATTCAGGACGTATTGCTTTTTGTTAATGTACTCGAAGTCGTAGAAGCAATTTGGTAGCTCCTCCGCCAGGTTTCTGATATTATCTGTGCAGTTCGAATCGCACTGTGCGATAATGTCGATGTTACCGCCATTGACAACCGAGTCGGAAGCACATTCTTCACTTGTCGCAGTCTTGACGTACTCGTTCCACAGACTAATAATCTCTCCGTTATTGCAGTACGAATCCATTGCAATGGTCGTTGCTTCCGGTGTTAGTGCCGATGACGAACCAGCCAAACTCGATGGTGGTGCTGTGGTAGCAGTAGCATTAGCTTCCGTCAGAGATCCTGAGTCCCTAATGTCGCCTCCGTTGCAAATCGTGAGTGCGTTCTGTACTTCTATTTTGATGTTGATGCCACTGAACGTGCAGTCTGGGAGATCCGTGGCCACGTCCTCCACGACATCAACGCAGTCGGTGGCTGCACATGGCGCATTCACGAAGACTGGATCGGTCTGTGTCACGTACGGTGCGCATGCTGGATTGGCAGCAGCTTGTGCCCAGACGGAGGAGGCGGAAGCCGTTTGGGCGTCGGTACACTCGGCGGCTTCACCAGTCCAGAAGAGAAAGGTAGCCGATAGTAACACAGCAGCAAACATTGTTGAAGACTTGAGCTCGGCGAGTTTTGTTCGAGAATGACTTCCTCCATCTGCCGACATATTACCGCTGTTGAAGTGGGTACAACCGTTTTCTTCGACGGAATCGTTGGGAGAAAAATAACTGAATCCAAGAACGTTAACATTGGAATCCATGGAAACCTTGCTCTTACTCAATACAGCACTCGCCTTCCCATCTGAACGACAACTCGCACCAACGGCTTTTGCAAATGAGTACATCTCCACGAGGTAAATGAAACTATTAATATAGCTTTCGCAAAATAAATTGACGGATATCGGGTGAGTGTCGTTTTATTTTCAACGGTTAATTGGAATACAACGGTAGAAATGATGGGTGGCGTTATTTTTATTCGAAAAATTATTGTAATTGAGTACGAAGTGATGAGAAACAAGAGCGCTGCACCCCTTCGTCCACATTCAAAAAAGCATATTCACATGGTGCCGTATGCGTTGCTGCCTCATGCCCGTCACCGTTCATTTTTGCAATGAGTCTAGTTGCATGTTGCAACTCACAAGAATCCCGCAAAGAAGAGAGCGACAGAGAGCTGCGCTACGACAGCGCTCATAGCCATCACACCCTTCGAGGCGCTCGATACGACTGATCCGCTGCCCGTGCTGCTGCCACTGGCCGACGCCGACTGGTCCAGCACGTCGTTCGTGCTGCCACAGTATGTGATGATGGCTTGCAACCCCGTCTTGCGATCGATCTCGTCCTCCCCCGTGCAGTCCGGCAACTGGTCCACAATGTCACTGATCTCCGAGAGGCCGTCGCTGTGCTGGCAATAAGCGAGCGACGTTGAGTCTGAGCTGGCAACCAGGTCCCCGCACGCAGTGCTGTTGGTAAGGTCGGCGTATACAGTGTCCACAGTGGACTGCTCGTCCTCTGTGCAGGTGGCAGCGTTCGCCAAAGTTTGAAGCGCCACGAAGGCAATGAAGGCGATGGCGAAGATGCTGCGGAGGAGGGCCATTGCTACGATGGGGGTCAGTGAAATCGAGACTGGAATGGAGTGTTTGAGTTGTGTCGAGCCAGTCTTCGTGGTCGGGAAGGTTCCACGAAGCAGTCTGTAGCCTTTCACGTGCGTGGTACCTGCTGTACCACCACTGAAAGCTCAAATAATTCACTTAAGGCCGCAGGATGCGACTAGCAGGCATTACATTTCAGATGTGCCAGTACCGCATGCGGACAACAACTGAAGGTCCAGTGTATATATATCACAATTGCCCGTCGAAAATCGCCATTCCGGTCAATTTGCAGCGAGTCAAGTCAAGTGGTTTGATCCATGCCCATACAGCTGTACATGTATAAACACACTAAATTACAAACAAGTGTTACTACTGTAGTGGCTTTGAGCAGCGTGCGTGAATTCCTCCGTTGGCCTGCATTTTGCGAGCGCTCTATGCTGCACTGTAGAATAGTGACCACAGAGTCAGACTTGCGCCCGTCTAGCACACTGAAATGATTCCTGTGAAAGATTCTTGAACCGTACAGTACATGTACTAGTACCGGTATCCAGATTCCGGAATGAATCAAGTTTTGGTACTTCCGGAACGAATCAAACAGTTTGATACCGGTTTCCACCGAAACGGAATGTATTTTAAACATGGATTTTACCGGTACCGAACTGGCAGCTGGTTTAGATTTAAGGTATACATGTATTAAGATTTTTTTATTTTATAACAATACATCTCAACTTCAGTAAATGTAACAGCCATGCAGCACAAGTTAAGTAGATCTGTAGCTCATACATCTTTTAGAGACACCGGCAACTATTTAAGTATTCTGAATAAACATTTAAATTCTGAAGTCCAGCAGGACAGCAATGGAAGCTCAGTCGCCAACCTTTGATTATCCTGTCCGAATGCATAAATTACCCCTTTAGGAAATGACCGACTATAGGCTATGAACGTTTATTTTTCTTTCGAATTGAGACTAAACCATTTTTCGCGGGTGCAGAAGCTCTTTTACAGGTAATAAGCTCCAGCCAGCTCTTATTTATAGCTCAATAATATTGAACTACAAAAGGGTAATAAATTATATTATAATTTATTACCCTTTTGGAGTTTGTGATCTGAGCGTAGATCAGACTACGATACTTTGTTAAAACGCAGAATTTCCTTCCTTAAAGGCCACGAACGATGTAATTAAACATGCATCGTCGCCAAACCACACCGCTATAACAAACGAAATCTTAGTTAAAGTTAGCAAATTTCATTTAAAAAAATTATTAGGTGTTTAGATATGATTTAGCCATGGCAAGATGGCCTTCACTTTTATTATATGCAGTTAAACCCCGAAGCGCTTTCATTTTTCCATTTTTATAATAAATCGTCTTCTTCAGCATGGCTCGTTTAAGGTGGGTACGAATCCGGTTGTTCTGGACACCTGTGGCTCGTTGCTTTAGCTTTACGCTATCAATCTCTGGCCGGAATCCCGTGGTTATCTTGCACGGATAGTATGGAGGAAGGAATTTCTAAGCAAAAATCCGGATTAGCCAATATATGGATTTCACTGTAGATATTTTGTGATGCTCTATTGCTTAAAAGTCCAAGAAGTCTTTTTTTGGATAGGCGCTTCGATTAGCCCTATAATCGCTCTTACTACGTAGTAATAACCTCGGATAGCTACAAAAAACTTAACTATCGGCGGGCACCGTTGCGAGGAGGTGACTATTGTACATGTTAAAAGGTTCATGAATACATGTATCCATGTCTGCAAGTGCATGCTTGTAAAACCTTTTTTCTCTCTGTTAACTTGTACGTGCTTCTCCGACTCTGGTCAGCCAGCTAGCAGCTCTCCTTCTCTCCACAGTCCTCATCCTATGCGCGCTGATGATCCACGAGCATGAGACTGGCCACGAACGTCATCATCATCTTGGGCTTGACCTCCACGATGTCCTCGTACGTCAGGAAGACCGTGGCGCCGATCTTCTGCGCGCAGCTGATGGCGTACTTGGCGTTGCTGGCCTTGGCGTCGTCCGTCTTGTCCTGCGAGACCATGTCCCAGTTCACCGCACGCGGCTCCACAGCGTGCACCAAGTCCAGTAGATACAGCCCGTCGGACAGCGTGGGGTCCCGGAACGCCACGATGTTGCCCTTGGCCCGTCCGCTCTGCTGCACCTTGTTGTTGGCCCAGCCGATGATGTCCTTGTCGGTGATCTCGCCTCGCCCGGCCGCCAGCTTGCTCAAGATCTTGAGCTGCTGATAGCGCATACTCTGCCACACAATGGACAGGATCATCTTCTTGGCGCCTTCGAAGATGTCGGCGCCTCCGACGTTCACCAGCGAGAACTTGAGCTGCTTGCCCAGTACGACGCAGTAGTTGCAGTTCTCCACCTGCTTAAACTTGTTGGGCGCCACCAGGTTGACCTTGTTCCAGCTCACCAGGCCCTTCTGGATCTTGTCCAGCACCTTGAGCAGCTTCATGCCGTCGCTCAAGTCCGAGTACAAGTGGTTGACGTACACGTCGTCGATGGCCAGCGAGTTGATCCACAGACGGAAGACCCGCTCTTCCCGCGTGTCGCCCACGTCGTCGTACAGAATCTCCTCCAGTTGCTTCACCTCCTCTTCGACCACATCCAACGCTGGGCACGTGTTGAACAGCTGCGCCACGAACGACATGTTGAGCTTCGGGTTGCCGCTCGTGATGTCGCGAGGCTTGATGAACGTCTCGACCTGGAGCCGACGCGCGTTCTGGATCACG